GTTTAGAGTGGGCTTTCTGGATCTGATGCTTGATTAATTTGAGGGGGTAGCCAGCAGTGAGAAATTTACAGGTAATAGCTTGAATATGGTGAGCATAGTCAAGGGGGTCCGAGCAGATACGTTTTATTTTAAGGCATTGACTATATACAATAGAGGACTTCAGCGATTCAGGACGAGCGCTAGAGTAGTGAAGATAGGAATGACAGTCAGTGGGTTTAACATAAAGTGAAGAACTGATAGTGCAGTTAGAACATTTAACGAGGACGTCAAGAAAGGGTATTTGGCAGTCAGATAGTTCAACAGTGAACTTAATGGTATTGTGAAAGCTGTTAGCATGAGTGATAAAATCAGTGAGTGAGGCGTGGCCATGAGTCCATATGAAGGAAATATCATCAATGTAACGTGAGTAGTGAAGGGGCTTAAGAGGGAAGGATGATATGAGTTTGTGCTCGATGTTGGCCATGAAAATATTGGCGTATGAAGGGGCCATCTTAGTACCCATGGCCGTACCCTGAATCTGTAAATAGTGCTTACCATTGAATGTGAAATTGTTATGGGTTAGGATGAACTTGATGATGGATGATAAATCAGAGACGGCATCAGTGGAAAATGAATGAGTGAAAAGAAAATCGGAGCAAGCTTGGATGCCTTCGTTGTGAGGGATGTTAGTATAGAGTGATGACACATCCATAGTAACAAGTATAGCATCTTGGGGGAGGGTGGAAATAGATTCGAGTTTTCTGAGGAAGTGAGTGGTATCTTGAATATAGCTGGGGATATTGGAGAGTAGGGGGTTGAGAATAGAATCAATATATCCAGACAAAAATTCAGTGAATATATATACATGTGTGTGTGTGTGTGTGTTATATATATTGTTTACCTATATATTTGAGCACTGTATTATTATTTATTTGATTTATACATCATTTGTGTTCCCAAGCAGCAGCTTGATTTGAATAGTATTTCCTACGTGATTTTCCAGCTACCCATATCTATTAAGCAGCTTAAAAATTCGCTCCACCATGTGTGAGCACTCAAGTTGTATAAAGGGAGAGACACTCGTGGTCTTAAGCCGGACACTCACTGCGTCGTACGACTCAGTGGCGGCGCCAGCGCGGTGGCAGGGGGGCTTAAGCCCCCACCGCACAGGTCAAACCCCCGCCGGACAAAGCTCGTCGGGCAGTCAGAACACATAAAAATAGGCCCACACCAAGCCAACACATGTCTGTCACAGTCTGAGAGTGCCATTTTCGGCCATCTAGAGGTTGATATTCTTTTAAAAAAAATCTCATTTGGAAAGGGAAACCTCCTCTCAACCCCTTCTCCCAGCTCGAGCCTACGAGCTCAAGTCCCCCTGTCGGACAACTTAGCCCCCCCCCCCAAATATATCCTAGAGCCTCTACTGACGACGGTCGTACGACTTTCTCACGACTGTCGCACGACGAATCCACATTTTGCTTCCGGCGAGCTATGGACGACGCAACGTTGTCTGCTGATTGTCAGTGGCAATCTGAAAGGATCCTCATTAAAACATGGAGGTATTATTGAGAAGGAGATCACTCGGCAACAGATCCCTTTGAGGCCCGTAGCCAGGTCATTTCAAGGTGGGGTTCTCTGGGCGTGGGTCCAGGGGGCCTGCCTAAGGGCCCCAGTGGGGTCGGGGGCGAAGCCCCCGAAGCCAGAGCAGCTTTTGTGTTTAATGCGTCTATATAATGTAATAAAAGCAGTTATGTTTTGAAAAAGATCTATGTAATAAAAAGGTGGTAATATAATAAAATTAGAAAATATTTCGATTAAACATCGTAACGTTACTGGGTTTGGTCTACAGGAGTTCGTGTTTCGAACAGGTCATTCCATTCATAGAAGAAGCCTTTTGATGGAGAAAGTGTACTTTTTTAGCAAAGGTTTGCCTAGGTCTAAACTAACTCCGGCTATATAATAATTGATTAGAATATTAAAAATGTTATTCGTGTTAATGAATAGATAAAGATTACTAGGCCTAATATGTCCATTTTTATTGATCTAATCTACGTGTATTTACTTTCATAGTTTATATTTAAATATTTAAAGTTGTTTATAAATTTATCTAAAATACTATATGAAATAATGTAATCATTAAAATCTATGATAATAATTGATATTTAAATAAAGCAAAAGATTGAAAAATGTTAAATACAGACACAAAGTATACATAGACC